CACACATGATACAGCAGTAGTTCATTTCCTACACACAACCTTCCTTTCAATTAAAGTAACACTGTTTCCATGCATGAAAAGGAGCAGGAAGAAGAATAAATTTATAGCTCGAGAGTATGAAGGAAAGTTCCTGAATGATTGAGTAAATTGATACCACTGACTGGCCCCCACGCGCGGCTGACCAAAATCCAATTGAACTCTTAATGAAACTTGAATTAAAAAGGAAATGGATATATTTTTAGTTTGTTACAGTGTCAGAAACGAGATGACTCTATGTTAGGGGGGTCCTATTCCTCTGCAGGGCAACCTGCATATGGCCAATAAAGCATTCATTCAATTCAATTCAATTCAATTCAACCTCCTATGAACTCTTTCATGGCATGCATTTTTAATTTCGCTTTGATATTTGGGCTGATTGGGACCCGATGAATGTAAAAACTAAGACACTTTACCAGATTCTTGTTTCTTTTTCTTTTTTTTTTGCCTGTCCCGTTTGGCTCTTTTGCCATCAGAATTATTGTCTAAAGGCAAAGAAAGATACCCAACGGATTTACTTTACCAAATTGACCATCCCAGCCTTGCCATAATGGTCCATTTGATTCACCTTTTATTGTTTATTTTATTTTCACTTGCTGAATACGGGACAGACTTGACTGGAGGAAAGAAGGGGAGAAAGAAAGAGGGAAAGAGAAACAGCTGAGAAGAGGGATGGGGGAGAAGGGCAAAAAGCAAAAACCAACAGAATAAGCAGGGGGGAAAAAAATGCATATATCGATCACCTGGATCACCTGTTGAAAAAGAAAAAAGAAAACAAGCAGAAGAGAACAAGAGTAATAGAATAAACAACATCACAATGATATATGGGAATATGACAGTAAATACTAAATATTAAACATTATTGTGCAGCACGTAAGATCGACAGCACACAGTGTGCTTTGAGGTAGGAGCCAAAAAGGGTGTAGTTTGTGGGTGTGATCACCCGTGTGTACACCTGTGAGCATGGACGAGCTTGTTTTTTTAAAAGGTTCCTTCATGTAATGATCTGCTAGAGGGTATGGGGGGGCCACTGCCCCGTCCTCCAGGGCATGAAGCAGGTATGGAGGAGATCAAAACTCCAGACATCCAGAGGCCCCCAGAACACAAGAGACCAAGGAAGACCAACAGAGGGGCAGCCGCGCCACTGTCCCAGAAAGAGCTGAGGAGAGTCCCAGATGAGGGCTCACTCAGCAGCCGCGGAGCAGAAGCCAGGGGGAGTTGCAGTGACGCGCCCGTGAGCTCCACCGGCAGCCAGCCGTGCCTGAGTGACCGAGCCCCAGGCCGAGAGGCTGGGGGCACCCCACCTCCGAAGTGGCCCGAGCGAGCCCCAGGCTCCAGGCCCCGATAAGCGGCCGCCAAGGAGTGAGCCGGTGTGTACCTGGACGCCCATCCCCAGACACAAAGAACCACCAACGCACCGATGTCTGAGGGAGTCCGCCACTGGCAGGGGAAGTGGTGGTGGGGGAGATAGACCTCCAAACCTTGGAGGGCCTGAGATGTCCCCAGAGAGGTGGCGTCTGATACCCAACCTGACATATAGACAAAGACATACAGGCATACACAGATACAAACATCCATTCCCACCCTCATGCTCTCATATGCACTTACTCCACACTCAACCAACGTGGAGACAGACATAAAGAGACGCTGTACGCACGATCACACTCCCCAAGCGTACTCTACAAACTGGGTCTAGGTACCCTTGCCCCTGGAGGGGGAACTGCACCCAGACCCAGGTGGTGTTACCCTTTTCCCTGCGGTGGGGGGAGGCAGACCGCCCCGACTCCGCAGCAGCAGGGAGGCCCCACACTCCAGACCGCAGTCAGACGGCCAACTCCTCCTTCTACCCCCCCGCTCCAGCAGGCCGCAGAGAATGGGGGTGAGAGAAGACTCCAAACCTCCCTCCACCCGCTCATTGTAATGTTGATGCATGTGTGTTCTAAGGTGCATTTAAAACCCAGGAGGGCATGGAGCTACCTGCCAGACAGCAGCAGGTAGGCGCATAGCCCCTCCTGCTAGCCCTCAATGTCTATGTGTATTTAAAATTGAGAGGTGGGCAACGACGCCAAGGGTGAGGTGTACACACTGATGGTCTTTTGGAGTCCGTGTAGCGTGCCCACCCCAAGATCCTATATGTATGTGTAATGAGAGTGTGAGTAATGTGAATGTCTAAGTTGTGGGATAAAATTGAGGCAGAGGCAGCCAGAAGGGGACAGAGGGGGAGGGGGGGTAGCCTCCTCTGCACCCTGCATGGTGACATACCCCTACTCCAAGGCCCTGCATGTGTGGGTGGTTGTGGTGGAGCGGGAAGAGGGAGGCAGCTGAAGATGGGGAGGGAAGGAAGGGAGGGGCAAGTGACCCCTCCCTGGGGCCAGCTCCCCAGTTGAAGAGTCCCCCAGGTGGCTCGACGCACCGGCGGCACCCTGCTCCAGGGCTGAGCCCTCATGCACCCACCCGCCCACAACACCCGGCAACACACCAACCAGGACCCAAGCCCCGAGGCCCGGCCAGAGCCCCAGCCCAGAGACGGAGCGCCCCAGAACCTCACGCCCATCCCGGACCCACCAGGGGCAGCCAGGCTACCAGGTCAGTAACCCACGTCCGTCAGCACAGACCCTCCCCTAGCCCCGCTGCACGCAGCCGCGAGGAAACAGTCACCTGAGAGCCAACAGAACCCCTAATCGGACATGACCGCTACCCCGGGTTGAGCCCCCAAGGAAGATGCCTCCAGGGAACCCCCAGACGCCCTAAGCCTATCCCTACCCCCACACCAATCACAACAGTGAAGGCGGGACCAAACTAAGAACCCCCACCCCACTAGGTGATGGAGCTGATCAAAGGAGCCCAGAGCAATTGATCTGATGTGGTGGCAGAGGCTGTATCAAGATTAATGTGATCTAATAGATAATTTCTATATTGGTTAGAATTAAGATTATTTTTATTTTTCCAGTTCATGAGGACTGTTTTCTTGGCTATGCATAGGGCAGTGAAAACCATATGGGCTATATTATTTTCTGAAGTGACAATATCTAAGCTGCCCAACAAACACACTAAGGGGAAGTTGGAATGTTACATTTCAGACACTTTGATAAGTCTTCACATATCTCGCGCCAAAACTTCTGAACTGGTGGACAGAACCAAAGAGCGTGGATATAATTGTCCGGTGAATTGGTTTGGCAGTGGGAGCAGGTGTTGGTAGACGTAAAGCCCATCTTGAACATCCGATGACCTGTATAGTGCACTCTATGTAATATTTTGTATTGAATTAATTGAAGACTGGGATTTCTAATTAGATGAAAGGTTTTTAAGCAAATCTGAGACCAGAAGTTTAGGTCTAAGTTAACTGATAAATCCGCTTCCCATTTTGCAATAGGAAGTGATATTGATTCATCTGTTTTAGAAAGCATTCTGTATATTTTGGATAGTAATTTGGGGGTTTTAAGAGTAAGAAATTGAACCACACTTGGTGGTGTTTGTAGTTCAACTTGACCCGGTCTAAATTTCTTTTTTACTATGGATTTAATTTGTTGATTCTTGTTTCTAAGAAAAATGAGAGCCATATATGAGGATATTTGTTTTAACATTTGATAAAACAGAAACAGTACAATGTCCTCATAAGTGGATAGCAGGCCCTTGTAGAGTAAAATACTGTATTTTGGTCTAGACCAGCGGTCCGCATACCCCGGGCCTCCGAGTTGTTTGGTACCGGGCCGTGAGAGTTGAGGCTCAGGTGTGAAATGTATGGTTTTCAGGGTTTTTATCGGTTTTCAGCGTTATTCTGTTATCGTTTATATCGTTTTCTCGGTTTTCCTTGGTCTTTTCACGTGTGTTATGAATAAATTTTCTTTTTTTCGGTACCAGTACTAGTTTTATTTTGTTGTATTTATCCGCGACACCTTAAAGGCCGGTCCATGAAAATATTGTCGGGCATAAACCGGTCCGTGGCCCAAAAAAGGTTGGGGACCGCTGGTCTAGACAACCAAAAATGTGATGTACACATATGTGGTCGGCAGGTCCTAGGAGGTTAAAGACATGAACAGCGTTGTATTTAAAAAGTTCTGCATTTCTTCTTTACAGAAAGATAGATCAGGTGAGTGACTTGTGTCTGTGAAGCTGACAGACTAGCTCATAGTAGCTCATGTAATATTATCAGTATCAAATAAAACGATGTTAAAGATTTTGCTATTTCTTGTTCTACATAAATACTTCTTGTTTATAATGATTATAACAACCTTAGTGAAGTACAGTATTTAAATGACACAAACTTTCAAAAATGAGGATCAGTAATAAAAAACAGATTAAAAAACAAACAAACAGATTAATGAATTTCATATTTGTTGTATTTCTGTTCAGCTCCACAGTGAAAACTGAGGTGAAATAGAAATGATGCACCTTGAATTGATCAGGAGCAATAGCACTTTTTATGGTTGGAGCCTCTGTGCTTACTTGATACAGTTGTAGTAGTAGGTACAGCAGTAGTTAAGTAGAAACAACTTATGGAAGCAGAAAATTGGAATATCAATATATCGATAATATTATCGATGTAAAATATTAAAATGTAATATAATACCATTCCTAATCCAAATGAATGACCTTATTGATGTACAGGATATAAATCACACTAAGCTAAAGACTTTAAGCAGAATCAGTAGTGTTTAGAAATACATTTTTAAAAAGTTAAAATAAATAAATAAATGACTCACTGCTATGACTGAGGTCACCTCATTTTCTTTGTTCATGACATCCTCATATTCCTTACTTTCAAACTCCAGTTCTGTCCCTGGAAGCATTCTTGCTGAAAGGTTACAGTGTTACATATTTACTCTTACAGTACATAACGTGTCCAGTCAACAGCAAGTGATGGCATTATTTGAAATGGCCATGTACTGAAGGGCACAGAGACGTCACAATTCAGTCCGTATGTTGAAGGAGCGCCCTCTCATGGCCAGAAGCTTCCAAAAACCCTTTTCTCTTTCTCTCTAACTGTAGTGGAAATGGCATCACAGTCTGAAATCAAATACAGCCACATTTTAGTTTTCTGGATTCATTCATAGTGAGAGCTGTACTTTATTTAAGTTCATGGATGTACAGTCCCTTTCTATGCAAAACAAGTGAATGAATATTTTAAAAACCAGTATGGCATACTGAGAAAGGATTAATAGTTTTGGCACTTTAGGAAACACGTTTATCCACTTTGAGTCTGAAAGACATACAAATATGAAACTGCAGATGGTCAGCTTAGCAAAAACACCAAGATAAGATAAGATAAGATAAGATAAGATAAGATACTTTTATTAGTCCCACAAGGGGAAATTTCATGTTAAGGCTGCCGACCTATTGCACGCAATGGCGGCGCCATCTTACCCTCTGATCATACATACATTATACAAAAACATCACATGGGGAAGACAGGTCAGAGAGGTATAACAATGGAAAAAGCACCACATGAGGAAAGATAAGGAGAAAAAAAAAAAACTCCCCCCAGACTGAGCTCCAACATGGAGATCAGTTTGAGAACAGAAAAAAAACACCTGCACATAGCACATGAAAAAACTCTTAATACACCAAAGAAACACATGACAAGCAACAGGGATGGGTAAAGGGTGAGAGACAGCCAGTGTAGACAGTACATCCGGGCCTGCAGCCAATGCGCTGGTCTCCTTGATCCACCGTCAGCATCGGAAGGGAATAAGCGTCGAAGGCGTTTGGAGGGGGAGGGGGGATGAGTGTACATCTGCATGTGTATATATGTCTGTGTGTGTGTGTGTGTGTGTGTGTGTGTGTGTGTGTGTGTGTGTGTGTGTATGTATGTGTCCAGAGTTCAGCTGAGACAGTGTCCTTCGTCCTGCTAGGCTAAGTAAACAGTCTTCCAGCCAACCCGGGTGGCCTTGCATTGAATGGGAAGAACAGTCTAAACACAGTCCGTATCAGGGTGTTGTTGTTCAGCTCCAGCCTTGAGACCGCAGCTGGCGCCGAAGGGGAAATGATGGTGGTTTTTACTTTAGTGCGAACAACTCATAAGAATTTCAAAGTTGTTCTAACAGTCTGACACTGGTCTGTCAATCTCCCGTTGGAGAGCCGTGAGCTTCTCCATGATGTTATCAACCTTGCGCTCCGTGATGTTGTCATTCTTGTGCTCAAAGAGCCGATTCTGAGAACTCACGACCACAGTGAGCTTCTCCAAAATGTAATCCAATTTTTGCTCAGAGGTGTTATTCCGAGCGAGCCCCTCCAAAATGTAATCCAGTTTGCGCTCAGAGGTCTTATTCTGAGTATTCACGGCAGCCGTAAGCATCTCCAACATCTTATCCGTGCTGCACTCAATGGCCCATTTTGAGCCCATCGTTTCAATCCCAGCGTTCAGCCTTGTGGGGGTTTGAACAGCCGGTTCCGCTTTCTTAATTCTTCGATAAGCCGGGGCCAAGCCAGCTCCAATCAGCAAGAACCCTGTTATCATGGTTCCGAATAGGTAGATATCTTCAGCGTCTTTGATCGACAGTCCCACCAGGCACACGATCCTCCAATTCTGCCACCCGTCCATTGTGTATCCGGCAGGGAAAGTACCTCCAGGACACTCAGGCTCACCTGAGCCCAGACTTCTCGTTGAGAAAAGGGTGTCAATTGCATTCAGGGACCAGTTGATCAAATCCATAATTCCTCTTTTAGGTTTTAGAAAACAGACTGTGAGAGAGTGTTCCAGGGAAAAGTAATACAAAAAACACGAGACTAGACAAGGACACAAGAGGCTAAGCAGGGAAGCTAAGGGAGAGGAGGAGGAGGAGAGGAGAAAAGTGCGACCGCCTTCGTCAAGAGCAAGAGCAGAAGGGCCGAGGAAACAGCTGGCTTCCCTCTGTCCAAAGGTATGAAAGCCAAAGTGTAAAAAATGTTGCTGTTTAAAAACTCAAAGAAAAATTTTTCATACTTGTGAGCTGAGGTCACTTGCTTCACCAGGCTCCAGCCTAAGCTAAGTTAGACACAATGTGCCTTGGCTCTAGCTAATGTATGAGTTACATCAATCTTAAAATCCTAATTCTGTGCTAGAAATACTAAGGAAAAATCACATCACGAAATATTATCACTACTGCATATACAGATTATTTTAGATCTCTCCCACAAAGACCCTGAAAATGTTATTTTTCTCAAATATTTGTTTCATTTATATGAAAAAAAAGTTTTTAAAATAAATGGACTAAGAAAACTAAGCAAAAATGAAAGTGGTTGAGCAGAGGAAACACATATGTATGTAGTGATGTATGAATCAAGGTAGAGATGTATGCATGGGAAGACAGGTGTATGGACATATACAGACTACTACAAGAAATTTACATCACTCTTTCCTTTAGTTTTCCAGCACTCGCCAAAGTAGTAGTGATGCTCATCACAGCTGACATGACAACCATGACAAACTCAGTTTGAATAGCTTTTGTCTCCGCGACTATCACACACTAAAAGGACCTGTGAGGGTGAGATATGTAGCAACGAGTGAACTGGTACCTTCAGTTTTGGGGAATGTATGGGATTTCTGTTAGAGGAGAGAAAATATTAATGCAGATTCCAGGATGGTAGAGACATAGCAAAATAATTTTTGAGCTTCATGATTGTCTAAATTTCTACTTGAGTCTGAGTGATGGGGAGAGGCAGCAATGGGGAAGTGGTTTGCACAAAGTTACCTACAAGGGATAATGACAGTACGCGGCATGAAGGCTGATTGACCTGAAGAAGGCAGGCAGAAAGATGATTTAACGAGACCAGTGATGTCACAATCAGCTTGATAGCCTGGGAAAGTGGAATTGATGTAAAGCTTAGATTAGCCACAAACACCTGGGAAAAAGAGATGTATTAGAATTTAGCAGGTGGATTTCCAGAGGCTGTAAGGTTGTACAGGTGAAGAGCGGCCATGAACTTGAACGTGGAGTGGGGAAGAAACAAACTGAGTGAGTAGGTGAATAACTATGAGATAAGGAAATATCCATTGGATCCTAACTGTCACCATAACGGCAACTCCCCCCGATCAGAGTACAGAAATCCTGTACTTAAGTAGAAGAATAGAAACCTGTCATAAATAATACTGTGGTAAAAGCTAAAGTACTGATTAATTTCTTTATTCAAGTAAAGGAGAAAAAGTAAGATAAGATAAGATAAGATAAGATAAGATAAGATAGAACTTTATTAATCCCTCGGGTGGGTTCCTCTGGGAAATTCGATTTCCAAAGAAGCACAGCACCGACAGAAGTTACAGAGTTACAGAATATTATATATATATATACACACACACACATACGCACACATACACACACATATATAAATACAGAGACAAATATAAATAAAATATACAAAGGGGATAAATAGAATAAATAGGAATAAAAATAAAATACAAGTGAATTGCACATTTCAAGTATTGAGGTCTATTGCACTGTTGACTATTTACAAAAGTATTGCACAAAGGTATTGTACAGTGAGGTGAAGAGGCACTACAGCTTAGTTGTTCCCCCCTCCTTTGTCCCCTCCCTCTCCCCTCCAGAGAGGAGTTAAACAGTTTGATGGCGTGTGGGACAAAGGAGTTTTTAAGTCTGGGGCGCTGGAGCCTATCCCAGCTGTCATAGGGCGAGAGGCAGGGTACACCCTGGACAGGTCGCCAGTCTGTCGCAGGGCCAACACACAGGGACAGACAACCATTCGCACTCTCATTCACACCTAGTGGCAATTTGGATTATCCAATTAACCTATCCCCACAAGCTGCATGTCTTTGGACGGTGGGAGGAAGCCGGAGTACCCGGAGTGAACCCACGCAAACACGGGGAGAACATGCAAACTCCACACAGAAAGACCCCGGCCTGATGGTGGAATTGAACTCAGGACCTTCTTGCTGTGCGGCAACAGTGCTAACCACCGTACCACTGTGCTGCCCGTGCTGTTTTACTGCATAATACTGCTAATTGGTGATGCTTAGTTACCTTAATTTCAGTATTGAGAACAGGTACATTTGTCCACTTTAATTTTAACCAGCCAAGAGAGTGATTTGCCTTAAATACATATTGCTGTAAGATGCACTGTAGATGTATTAAAGCTTTCAATCCCTAATGAAGTACATGTAAAGAGATGGAACATTGAAGTGTGAATGCATTTATTTTTCTGCTTATGACTTAAAAGATGAACATATGCAACGTGTAAGATCACTGAGACTGAAAGCGAGTGATACACATGGATATTGTTACTGTTAATGAAACTTGAATAACAGATGCAGTTTGGAAGGTAAACCGAGTGCACTGTGCCTTTATTGTTCCTGAATTTCACTTGTATTTACATTAATTTCATCTTTGTTATAGTGACACCACTCCTGGGGCCTGTAACAAATACACCAAATATAATACTATCATATATATAATACAAAGCTTAACGTGTATGAATGCAGGAATAAACCCTTTCCAAGCTAGCATGAATGTAAAAAGTGTTTGCATAAAGTTAGTGGAATATTAACATGGTGATTAAATGACTAAAATATCTTAGAATAGCTTGTCCCATTTCACACACATTTACATGAGGCCTGATGATAGTTTTCCCACAAAATACCAGTTTATATGCTTTATTTTACTGCTGACATCAGAACAAACAAATCAGAAAAATTATAAAATGCTAAATATGTACTTATCCAGAGATGGTAATGCTAAATTAATGGAGTTCTAAATCAGCTAAATATAATCAGCAGGTAGCTAAAACCATCATTTACATGACTCTGACATGAGTTAAGAACTTCGTCTCAGCTCATGTTCTCTGTTCGTGGTGTGCCCCGCCGCTGGTTCCAACACCCCACAACACTGATAAAGATAAGTGGAAGAGGATGGATGCATGTGAAAGAAAACCACATGGCTGCTGTGGAGATGTTGTGTTGCATTTTTGTTGTATATCAAGGTTCAAGGTTCAAGGTTCTTTATTTGTCACATGCATAGTTATACAAGTATAACACACAGTGAAATGTAGCCTGACACACTCCTCGACATGTGTGCAAAAATTGGGGTGGGTGGGTGGGGGGGGGGGGGGGGGGTGTAGAGGAAGAACATTATATATATATATACACATATAGTATATACACTGGGTGAATGTGCAGTAGTAGCAGCAAGCAGGTGAATTCTGTACATTAATATGAATAGACATCTGACTATTTTACAGGATAGACAATATAAACATATTTAAAATTAAAGGAATTGAAATGTACATTGTGCCTTGGTTTAGAGTGTCTCTCCACAGCGCCTGTATAGAAAATCCTGAGGATCTTTGGAGAGACCCTGAACTTCCTCAGTTGTCGTAGGTGATACAGGCGCTGCCTAGCCTTTTTGGTCTGGACCTGAATGTGGGCAGCCCATGTCAGGTCTGAGGAGATGTGGACACCAAGATACTTGAAGGACTGCACCCTCTCCACTGGAGCTCCATTGATGATAATGGGCTTGTAGTCTCTGTGCTGACCCCTTCTGAAGTCCACCACCAGCTCCTTGGTCTTGCTGATGTTCAGCTGGAGGTGGTTGTCCCGGCACCACGATGCCAGATTCTTCACTTCATCCATGTAGGCCGCTTCATCGTTGTTGGAGATGGCACCCAACACCACTGTGTCGTCAGCAAACTTCACAATGGTGTTGGAGCCATGGGTGGCCACACAGTCTGAAGTGTAGAGGGAGTAGAGCAGTGGCGAGAGGACACATCCCTGAGGTGCTCCTGTGTTGATGGTGATGCTGTTGGAGAAGCACCTGCCCACCCTCACCACCTGAGTTCTGCCAGTGAGGAAGTCCAACACCCATGCACACAGACGGCTGTTAAGTCCCAGATCCCTCAGCTTTGTGAACAGTCTGCAGGGCACTATTGTGTTAAACGCTGAACTGTAATCAACAAACAGCATTCGCACATAGTTACCCTGTTTCTTGTCCACGTGGCTGAGAGTGGTGTGTAGGACGTGGGCGATGGCATCCTCTGTGGATCTGTTGGATCTTGTCTGAGGTTCGCTTTGTTAAAGTCTCCTGCTACAATGAGGGCTGCGCCCGGGTCCTTGTTTTGAAGCGAGCTCAGCACATCATGTAATTCGGACAAAGCCATACCTGTGTCCGCTTGGGGTGGGATGTAGACCGCCGTGGCGATGACTGAGGTGAACTCACGGGGCAGATAGAAAGGGCGGCACTTAATGCTCAGGAACTCCAGATGTGACGAGCAGCCGCTGGAGAGAGTAGAAATGCTCCTGGCATCACACCACTTTCTGTTTATCATGAAACACTCCCCCACCTTTGGTTTTATTCGACTCTGCCGTTCTGTCCGCGCGGAGCACAAAGAATGAATCCGACGGAGTTACGGCCTGGTGGGGGGTCAGCCATGTCTCCGTGAAGCACAGAATGTTGCAGTCCCTCATGTCACGTTGGAAGGTGACCCTTGCTCTTAGGTCATCGAGCTTGTTCTCCATGGATTGTACATTGGCCAGTAGGATACTGGGCAGTGGTGCGCGATGCGCCTGCTGTCTCAGTCTGTTCCTAATACCAGCGCGTTTTCCCCGGCGCTTCTTTGTTCTGTCCCTCGGATGAGAGGCCCGTCCTTTGTTGTTCTCCGCGCCACGTAGAATCTCTGGCGGCCAGGAAGGGTCAGGTTTAAAAGTGTCCAAGATTAGATGTGCAACCTTGGCACCGATAAATAAGTAAAAAACAAGAAAAGTGGATAGTCGGAGCGGAGCGGTCAGGAAGGCGTCTGGACGTGGCCGCGCCATCTTGGTTATATAGCAGTGATTCCCATAGTGTACCCAGGTGGGCCACAATAGTAACAGAATTTCTGGTTGAAATTACTCACAAGCGTGTACAAAGTGAATTAAATAGGACAATATTACTGATTACCCTGACCTAAATTTACTACTCTTGAATTGAAGTTTCCCAGTGGCAGTTTACAGCCAACGGTCTTTATTGTTGATCTTTTTGAATACAACTTTCAAAATAAATAAGATTGGGTTAAATTTTGCTGGGCCCCAGAGATATCAAAAGCACAAACATGCTTTAAGTGGAAGAACAAAGACCTGTGTTAAAAACAGTGCAGTAAGTTGCAGTATTGTATCAACTACTTTACTTAATTGAAAGTGAAAAAATGCAGGCTTCTATCATATATTTTATGCAAAGGTATCTACACCTTGTGCCATCCTAACATAATAATGAAGAGTTCGTCCTGCACTAAACTACCGTGTTGGAATAACACAAAGCTAGTATATATTTATTTTACAGGATGTTTTCGCAATATAAAATACATTTAATGTATTTATTAATTTATCAAAACAAATCATATATGGATCCAATATATGAAAAAAATGATGATGATACATGTAAGCTTCACATTTGCACTTTATCAAGTGTTGCTTACCTTTGAAACTTACATCTCTATCCTTCCTTCTTACATCGTTCTCCATCCCTGTATAAAATTAGCTCTAATCCTGCTCCAACTGGAAAATACAGCAGCAAGACATTTAGCTAGCAGAAACACTGTGTGTGAAACTACACACAAAAATGTGTGTGTACTGATGTTTGTTGAGCTAATAGAAACATGTTACACTCTCCATCCTCACTCCTTTCCCGTAACACTAGATGCTGAATTACTGTGACTACAGCTTACAGGCATGTGCACTCACTCTGGCTCACTTTAACCCCGAGTGTAACACTATAAATTATTCCACTGATACCACCTAAAGTAATGAGCCTGAGTTGAAAGTACAGATATCTGTGTAAAAATGTAGGGAGTAAAAGTTAAAGGTTGTCAGACAAATAAATAATCAAGCAAAGTATAGATGCCTGAAAATTCTACTCAAGTACAGTAACAGTAACATGTATTGTTTTTTTTGTTTGTTTGTTGTTTTTGTACCTACCACAAACTGACAGGTCGTCACATAGTCATCACATGTGAATTTTCCCAAGACAATAATAAAGACACCGCAAGGATTTATTACATATCAGCTAAAAGTCATAAACAGGACAGAAACTAATGGAAGTTATAAACAGTTATAAACAATGTAAGTGGTTTGACAACTATTGGAATAGATGATCAGTGCAGATAGCTATAGTAACTGCTAAAATTTAAATGGCTGTTATAGTTTTAAGAATTCAGCTGAAAATGATTAATTATAATAGAGAACATTAAAGTGCATGATCATGAAAATGTATTCAAATTCTTTTGAACCCAAACATTAGTGAAAGAGTCAACAACCTGAAAGAATTGCATGTAATATTTTCAGGTTCAGAGCTTCGGGTGACTCTACAAGCGACGTCTCATTGATAAAATGGCTTATTGTGCTGTGTATCAAACTATAAATAGCATACATAACATACAGTTTGATACTCAACATCTAAGCCATTTCCAAAATCCCCGAGTGTCTGAGGCATCACTAGATGTGCATAAAGGATCAAACCTAAAAATGTTGTTCATTGTCAGTAAAGCAATGTTATTCATCCCTATGAACAGAATGTAATCTCAACTGGGAGTAGGGTAGAGCTTGGGAGTTAGCAGCTAATCGTAGTGCTGGCCAGTTAGTTCTGTTAGCAAAGTACATCCGTAATTCACAGTGACTCGAAATCACATGTTAATGTTGACTAGTGCTGAAACAAAATGTACCAGCGAAGCTAAACACGATGAAAGATCACACACGTGTCACTCAGATATGTTCCTGTGAAGTTGAGCATCTTTAACATGAGGACTAAAGGACCAGTTTCAAAATACCAACAGCACTGGTATTTCAGGTTGGACCATTAACTGATGTGTTAATTGAAACAAAATCACTCAGAAAGACAAAAGATGGCAACCAAAACTTATTGAATTCTTTATGTTTTAAAGAGTATACTATATTTAGAACAGTAGCTTAATATTATGAGGCATACACTTGTTTGTTTCTACAGAGTTTGATGAAAATATCGATATTACACTCACATTTATAGCTGAATATAAATGTAACAAGACAGTTAGCTTAGCTAAGCCTGAAAACAAGAAGCAGGAAGAGGAGGCTAGCTCCCCACCTTTAAGAAACTGTAAGCTAAGCAAACCTTTTTAATATCTATCTATCTATCTATTAGCTAGCTCATGTGTTGCATCAACGTCACGCATTTAAACAAAGAAAACTGAATGAAAAATGTAATACCACACAGTACAGACATGTTTGATAAAAGCTTTACATTCAACTACTATTAAACACAATATCATGGAATGATTTATTGATAACACTAGTATCTGTCTTTTTTGTTACATTTTAAGTTTTTTGCTATACAGGATCAAGGGATGGATTTAAATTCTTTTAAAATTAAGTTCTTGCATTAAATGTCGTTTTCTTCAAGGAATTTCAGTAAATGTATGTTGCATGAATATATTTTAATTATTTTTGACCTCTTATTTTTAATTAGAGAAAAAGAACAGTTAATTTTGTCGTGTTTGTCATGAGCCACTTTGTGAGACTTTTTTTTTTTTTAAGTAGTTTCTAAAGCTGCATTTGGCTCACTTGTCTTGATCTGGCTCTAGGTAGTCCTCATCCCTCTTCACCAATCCTGGGGCTGCTGTGTTTAAGTCATGTGGTGTTTCAGGGCTGTCGTGGATCTCTGCTGTAGTCTGTGCAGTTTCAGGGATTGTATCAATGTCATCATAACTCTCCTGTGGATCTTCCACTTCGTAGGTTACCCCGTCTGTCACAAAGAAAAATGTTTGGCACAGTTAAACACTGATTAGATTGATGCCATTTTCAAATTTGAAATTTATTGGTACTGAAATGTGAAAACACTGTGTTCAAACTGGTTCAGAACTTTCTAGTGTTTTCATTATGGACACCTTCAGGAACGTTGATGTCTTGGGCAGCAGGAGCAGTAGTGGCCGGAAAGGTCAGGGGTCGAGCCTCATCTGCTTCATCAATATCATCATAAGGTAAAGAGGAAACACTCCGCCCATCATTTTCTGAGACAAATTCAGTCTCAGATCTGAATCCTGAGTGAAAAAAAGCTAATATTGTATTAAAAAATAAACTTTCACATCCCAGATCTGTGCCTGGACTTTATATCTACCAATATAAAGTCCATATATATATATATATATATATATATATATATATATATATATATATATATATTAGGGGTGCAACGATATTCGTATCGATATTGAACCGTTCGATACAGTGCTTTCGGTTCGGTACGCATATGTATCGAACAATACAGCATTTGTAATTAATTTTATCAATTTTCCTTCTGACGATGCTGTCTGTGTTGAGCGCTCAGTGAATCTGCATTCGACTACTCCGCCTAGGCTCGACAGTGCAGCCTAGGCGGAGTAGTCGAATGCAGATTCACTGAGCGCTCAACACAGACAGCATAGTCAGAAGGAAGAGCGCAGGGCAAGCTAGCGAGACAGAAGTTAAGCTCTCCTTGTAACAGGCAAATTGAACCTCATTCAGATCTGGCGTTTGGAATTATTTTGGTTTTCATGTGACGTATGACCCTGAAGGTAAGCGAGTCATGGACTAAAGTAAAACAGTATGTTGGATGTGCCATGCAATGCTCAATTACATTGGTGTGAACTAGTGTGTTAGCGCAGTTAGCTCGTTAACGTGTTGGCCGTCTAGCCCCATGCACGGAGCGATCGGCGGTAGCTCGTTAACGGAGATTTGCCGTGTTGTGGCGTTAAGGTCATTTCAACGAGATTAACCTGAAAGCACTAGTGGGAACACAACGAATATGACTGCACATTTACGCCGACATCATCCTAGTGCAAAGACAAAAATAACAAGCATGCTACTAACTTTAGCCGAGTCATTTAGACAGCTGTTAGCACATGATTCTCCTTATGCTGCTGAGAATATAGCCCAGAAGAAGCGGATAGTATAGCTTTTATTTTGGAAAGAGCCATTTCTCTGTAATAAACTCTCTTTTCCAAAGATGAGTGATTCCTCAATCAGATACAGGGCTCGCAATATCGCTAGCCCGACGTCCCGGAGCTAGCGATTTTTTCAGTCGGGCTCCCAAAATCTATCTCTTCCCTGCCCGTCGGGCTATTGTAGGAAAAATATATGTCAATGCTTTTGCATTCTTTCAGAAATGTAGCTGGGTAATTATGTCATTGGCATCGGTGAGCCACTATCGCCCCAAGTGCGATAGGAGAAGGATCGTTGAGTGCGAGAGGAACTGACCTGAAAAATAGGATCATGGCCAAGCTTGAAACCTGGATCCCCCGTAGCCGGTTACCAAGATTACGTGAAGTACCCTCAGAAGATCTGCTAGATGATGTTAATGCAGCACTACGGGCAATACCTACAACCACGATTACCGACACTAACAAGCTGATCTACAATAGATCTACAATACAATACAATAGGAGGCTAGAGGGCAAGATCAAAGTAGCACGGAGGGAGGTTAGCCAACTAACGGAGTTGCAGAAAGGTGCGACATATACGGTGCCTAAGAAATACAGCAAGCTGTCCATACCTGAGGCCTTGGAAACTGCCAAGCAAAGACTCATAGCCTTGGCCAGCCGCTTGAGGAGGTACAACAGAGAGATAGAAGGCAGGAGAATAAACCAGCTGTTCTCCACAGAACCAGCAAAGGTGTACTCTCAGTGGCAAGGGAACAATAAGAGAACAGCACCACCAAGGCTGGAGACGGAGCAATACTGGAAGAGCATATGGGAGAAGGATGCAACCCATAACGGCAATGCTCAGTGGCTAGAGGATTTGAGGGCAGACCACAGCGACCTCCCTGAACAGGGAAGCTCCTGTCAGGCATCATATCGGCTAAGATGAACAGGCACATGGGTCAATACATGAGTGGGGCACAGAAAGGGATTGGCAAGAATACCAGAGGCGCAAAACACCAGCTACTGGTAGACAGAACAGTCAGCCGAGACTGCAAGACCAGACTGACCAACCTGTGCACTGCCTGGATTGATTACAAGAAGGCCTATGACTCAATGCCCCACAGCTGGATACTGGAATGCCTAGAATTGTACAAGATCAATGGGACCCTAAGAGCCTTCATCAGGAACTCAATGGGGATGTGGCGTACAACACTAGAGGCCAACTCCAAGCCCATAGCACAAGTCACCATCAAGTGCGGGATCTACCAAGGAGATGCTCTGTCCCCACTGCTGTTCTGCATAGGCCTGAACCCCCTCAGTGAGATCATTAACAAGACTGGCTACGGATACCGACTACGGAACGGAGCAGTTGTCAGCCACCTCCTGTACATGGATGACATCAAGCTGTATGCCAAGAGTGAACGAGACATCGATTCACTGATCCACACTACCAGGCTATACAGCAATGACATTGGAATGTCATTTGGACTGGAGAAGTGTAGTCGGATGGTAACAAAGAGAGGGAAGATAGTCAGAACTGAGGGGATTGAACTACCAGAAGGCAACATTGCAGACATAGAGGACAGTTACAAGTACCTGGGGATCCCGCAGGCAAATGGGAACCATGAAGAGGCCGCTAGAAAGGCTGCAACCACCAAGTACCTGCAGAGGGTCAGGCAAGTCCTGAGGAGTCAGCTGAATGGTAAGAACAAGATCCGGGCCATCAACACGTACGCCCTGCCCGTGATCAGGTACCCTGCTGGGGTAATAAGCTGGCCAAAGGAGGCGATAGAAGCCACTGACATAAAGACAAGAAAGCTCCTTACCATGCATGGAGGGTTTCACCCCAAGTCCAGCACCCTGAGGCTGTACGCTAAGCGGAAGGAAGGGGGCCGGGGACTGGTGAGTGTCAGCACCACAGTCCAGGATGAGACAACGAACATCCAAGAATACATTGGGAAGATGGCCCCAACTGACCGAGTGCTCAGTGAATACCTCAAGAAAGAGGAGGGAGACGAGGAACCATCATGGAAGGACAGGCCCCTGCATGGTATGTACCACCGGCAGATAGAGGAGGTGGCTGATATCCAGAAATCCTACCAGTGGCTGGACAAAGCTGGACTGAAAGACAGCACAGAGGCACTAATCATGGCAGCACAAGAACAAGCTCTGAGTACAAGATCCATAGAGGCTGGGGTCTATCACACCAGGCAAGACCCCAGGTGCAGGCTGTGTAAAGATGCTCCAGAGACAATCCAGCACATAACAGCAGGGTGCAAGATGCTAGCAGGCAAGGCATACATGGAACGCCATAACCAAGTGGCCGGCATAGTGTACAGGAACATCTGTGCCGAGTATAACCTGGAAGTCCCAAGGTCAAAATGGGAGATGCCCCCAAGGGTGGTGGAGAATGACCGAGCTAAGATCCTGTGGGACTTCCAGATACAGACGGACAAAATGGTGGTGGCTAACCAACCGGACATAGTGGTGGTAGACAAACAGAAGAAGACGGCCGTAGTGATCGATGTAGCGGTTCCGAATGACAGCAATATCAGGAAGAAGGAACACGAGAAGCTGGAGAAATACCAAGGGCTCAGAGAAGAGCTCGAAAGGATGTGGAGGGTGAAGGTAATGGTGGTCCCCGTGGTAATCGGAGCACTAGGTGCGGTGACTCCCAAGCTAGGCGAGTGGCTCCAGCAGATCCCGGGAATAACATCGGAGATCTCTGTCCAGAAGAGCGCAGTCCTGGGAACAGCTAAGATACTGCGCAGGACCCTCAAGCTCCCAGGCCTCTGGTAGAGGACCCGAGCTTGAAGGATAAACCGCCCGCAGGGGCGTGCTGGGTGTTTTTATATATATATATATATATATATATATATATATATATATACACTGATTTTTACCTTTTTATCTTCTTTTTCATATTTAAATATGTATTACATAAAATATGTATTTATTTTATTGTTATTTATATTTATTTCTTTGTATGCTTAATGTATGGTTTTTAACTGCTATCTCTGTTTTATTATTGGAAAGCACTTTGGTCAACTTTGTTGTTTTTAAAGTGCTATATAACTAAAGTTGGATTGGATTGGATAATGTGTATATAACTGGTTCCACTCTGATACAATCTGACACAGAAGCTAAAGCTAGTGGCAAGAGAAAAGGTGGGGGTCTGGATTTATATGTGAACAAAAGATGGTGTAATCCTGTCAAAGAGAAGATGCGTTGTCCTGATATTACTTTTTTGAAAGATAATTTTACTTTTTATACCTGTTTTATGTCTATCTTTTTGAAATTTAGGTGAAATTTAAATTTGTGCACCTTCAACTCGACAGCAGGAAGGATGACGTTGAAGAGGATAAAAAACATATACATGTTTTTATATAAAACATATAAAAACAGGTAACAATTTATATGGGCAGAGCCACTGACGTTCTTGATATAGTACAGTTATTTAAAAATAAGTTATGAAGACAGAAAACTGTAGTACTAACATGCAGTAATTAGTGTAGGTGGTGCAGCTTCTCATATTATCGTGTCCAAATTAAAATAACGATAGTAGTGGTGTAGAGTATATCAAAGGCCATTAAGCTATGGACTTTAAACACTGTTTAGAAAGAAAAACAGATAAGATAACACTGAATGAATGACTCACTGCCACGACTGAAGTCTTCCATCTCATTGTCTTTGTCCATGATGTCCTCATAATCTCCACTTTCAAACTCCATGTCTTTCCCTGGCAGCATTCTTGCTGAAAGGTTACAGTGTTATAAATTTACTCGTACAGCAACAGCTGTCTCACCAATGCACTGTGCTAATGTACCAGTGAAGTAACTGTACAAGGAGCACAGGAGCATGAAAAGCACACCACAAGCACAGGCGTTCTTAATTTTCCCTGTTCTGTATTTACATTTGGTCGAGTTTGGTGGAGCTGATGTGCTCCTTGTTCAATCAGCAGCAGTGACGGCATTATTTGAGTCAGAATTCAGTCAGTATGCTGAAAGACTGCCCTCTAAAAGTTTCCAACACCCTTTTCCTTTAAGCATGAAAGCTCTGGATTGATCTCATGTTCAGTCAGGATTTTTATGCCTTTTAAGGTAATTCATTAGAGCAAAAACAAACAAATAAAAAAACATGTGTGTAAGTCATGTAATAAATATACTCACCTAAAGCTCTGGACTCCCTGACTCTCCTGACATACATTCGTATAAATGAAGAAATCAAGATCACTACAACAAGAAGAAATATCACACCCACGATAATAGGTCCTGTGGGTATAGGCGGACGTGGTGGGGTTGGTGGTGCGGTAGTCAGTGTTTCATAGTCTGAAATCACACACAGCCAGTTTATTATGTTTTTTTCCGGATTCAGTTACAGTGAGTTTGAATTCCACTTTATCTGTATCACGTTGATCAAAGTAAGTCAGCTCAGATTTACAGAATACAAAAAGTGTCTTTCTGTCAAAAACAACTAATTGATTGATGGATTCATGGTTTCTCTTACCGGGACAATATATTTTAACTTGATTAGTGCTTTCACAGGAACTTCTTTTGACAGAGCGCCTGACATCCATGGTAACATCAGTGAACTCCAGTGTTGTTTCTAAGTTGACCTTAAATCAAATTTAAACTTTTTCACATTTAGAGATACAGCCAAAATCAAAAACACTGAAATTTTCTCTGGCAGTAAAAAACAGGCCGGACTGAAGCAACACACAGCAAAAGAAGTCACTAGAAGTCCAGACCAAAAGTATTGGGACATTCAATTTCTTTTATATTTCTGCAAACTTTGTGTCAGCAAAGTGTCCAGAAAGTTTCAAACATTTGGTCAATTTGTGTTTATTCAGATACAAGTCTCATGCATTTCTTTCCATTTTATAAACCTAAATATTTAAAATGTGAGATTCCAGTCTTCATTATTAGATTAAGCTGAGACACAGAGCCAGGAAACTGTCCATGATTTTGGTTTGTAGAATATGAGACAAATCAGTGACCGATTCAAGATGTAAAATATAAAGATTTACCTGTTTGATTTCCGTAGAGGTGCTAGGGGTCTCTTTATCAATCTCTTCACAGAGCTTTAAGTTTTGGGAATGATTAAATGGACATACTCTTTCCCACTTATCTCGATAATTGACATAAAGGACACCTCCATGTTTTTCAGTCGTGCGGAACTTTACACTTTCTGTAAAAGCAAAGAAACTGTGTTTAAAGAAGGAAACAAGCTCATCCACTTCTGTCTGGCAAATATGATGTTAGAGATGGTCACCTTAGCTTTAGCAAAATCACTAGGAGCAAAGCAAGCACCTGTCATCACTCTGCATTTATTAAAGTTGGAGTGTAAAACATGTGTTCCACATATTTATTTTTAGAAATTTTCAACAAATAACTCAGATTTCTGGACAGAACCTGCCAGACTATAAGTGTCATGGTTTGCAATGCAAATTATTTGTAGCTTCACTATCTTATAATGAGCTTGACAATGTCATTTTTATTTTAAAGAAATAATCTTCTGTTTTATAAAATAAATACCTAAAAATTACCCCAAGATAATAAATTAAAATACTACCAGAATTAAGAGAGGACATACATGTATGTACTGTATATAGGGATGAGTTTATGGAAAGAGAGGTGCATGGACTCACACTTACCACTACAAGTAATGAACACCACATTTGTGTCACACTTTCCTTTAGTCCTCCTGCACTGGCCAATGATGGAATGGTACTTTTCACAGCTGACATGGTAAATGTTACCTGAACCCTTTGATGGAGCTTTGGATTCAATGAAGACAGCATTGCCACAAAGCTTTTCTTGGCAAACTTTGTGTGCGTAGGATAGATCCCAGTTACTAGCACACACTGGAACGCCATCTATCCTCACTTCCCCACGGCAGCCCTGTGAAAGGCTGACACTGGGCTCCTCTGGGAAGGAAAGCAATAAACACTGCAGTCAAGTATTGATAAAGACATAAAGCACTGAGGTAGAAATGATCAGTTAATCTTCTCTGCACTGCAAAGTCAAAATATGAAGCACAAGTCCATAATCAAATAGTTCATTTAACACTTTTAGCTTTGGTTTGTTACTTTATCCAGTGTATCTGGAATAATTCTCCTTCACACTCCGAGTGTCTTGTTTCACTCTTCAGTGTTTCCAGTGCAAATGTAAAATGTCTGTGATCATTTAAGATCAGTCCTGCTGATATAAATCTTACTTTTGCATTCAATAAAGACGGGCTCCTTCCTTGAGGGTGTGGTTTTATTTTCACATTCCCAAATGCTTCCTGGATTTTCACCACAGCTGAAGCTTTTGTTCCAAAAAGAATCTATTTCAATTGTTTGGGGGTGGATTTCATTTGTTGATTGGTATCCACCACAGTCCATATTCTGGCAAAGCTTTTCCTTCTCAGTTTCATTGAAGTTTTCTCTGGAAACAGCACTGAGTCCCTGTCTCCAGTGAACCAACACTGTTCCACTACAGGCCTTTTTGTCAGGTACCATCGTCCTCCATTCTGAGACAGACAAGAGAAATAAAAAGTTCACAAAACATGATGTAACCAACAGGATCTGAATGATATAAATAACACAGAAATGACATTATGATCCTGCATCAACTTAAAGTTTTACACTTTTGAAGTTTAGCTACCCTTCTGACTGCTGCGTAAATAAAATGATTTTATAGAGTGATAACAAAGAGATGACAACTGATGACAGCGATATTTCTATAACCATCAGACTGCACAGGCCAGCTGTTTCCAGCTGATTCCAGACATTAAGTGAGTCAGACTGTGTGGCAGAGCCATACTGGTGACATGGACAACAAGCAGAGAAGAAAAGAGTAAAACTGAGTAGAACAAATATCATTAATGGAGGTGAGGATGTTAATATTCTAACCTTTATTGCACTAACAGTAACCTTTGAAGGCGAGCATGTCAAAGTTTGAAAGCAGCATTATTTTTATCTCAACATTTTTCTGAAATACAAACTAGTCTCAGTTTGTTTCAATTTCAATTCAGTTTCAAAGCCTTTATTTTAAAATTAGGCTGAAGGAGCAAAGAATAATTCAGAAACTGCTGACACAAGATCATTATACACACCAGAGCATCGGAGGCCACTGTGTTTGCAGCAGCTGTAGAAGCAGTAATACTGCTGCATGCAGATAATGGACTGTTAGCATTGCAATGCAGTTTAGGTTTGAAATGGCTAATTTATCTGCTGGTGCAGGTCCAAAGTAGGGAAGAGTCTCCACAGCATCACCACATTTAAGCTCCTGACAGATGGTGTTTCTATTGTTAGTGTCTTTGAGAGCATCCTCGCACACAGGGATCCACTTCCCCTCATACTCCACCTCTACGTTTCCAAAGCATTTGTAACTGGGAATGCTAAATCTGGGCTTGACACTACCTGAAAGAAAATATTATGAAAATCATGCTATATATTTATAATACTCTTATTTTATTTTTAATTAGAATTTTAAGCAACAAGAACTATCATCATCTTAGTGTAAAGAATTTCAGTCTGATAGCTTCAGAAAGATTTATATTTGCTTCTTTAACACAAATGAGCTTAATTATGAAAAATAGTATTTAAAAAGATATTTTTAAAACATTTGAAGGAACATTTAAAAACAGACTTATGTCTTTTTGTTTGTTTTTTACATTCTGTTATCCTGTAACTTAGTGACTGAAGAATCAACAAACCAATAAAACTGGCACTTTTTTCCAAAGGGTCCAAATCAGTTGAAAATGAAACTTTTTAAAAAGCAAGTTATGACATTTATTATATTTTTGTAATATAAAATTACTTTTAAAAAACAATTACCTGAGCAAACAACATAGGCTGGTTTTTCTTTACAGGACTTATCATTGTCCTGGTTTTTGACAAAGATGCTCTGTGTCAGGTCAGTAGTCTGATTTGTCGGGTGTAAACTCTTAAAGAGGATATCACCATCTTTGGGACTGTTGTGGGCTTTTATGGGCGTCCCACAGTTCAGCTTTTCACACAGCTTCACAGACTTGTCTTCTGTCCAGGTGTCTGCACACATATCTCCTTCTTTCTCTTCTACATGAATCCTGACTTTTCCCCAGCAGCTGTTCATCAAGCTCATCTCAATATTTCCTGTTGTGACATGAAAAAGTTAAATTTAAGAGGAAACTAGTATCAGCAGATATTTCACAACTTCTTAGACCAAGCTAGGTTTCAGAAAAAATAGAAAATAGTAGAAATTTGATTGAGAGAAAACAAGGAGGTGAATGTACATCTATGGACATTAAAAGGTAAAGTCTGTTATAAGTAAATTGTCTCTTCTGTGACACAATAAATCAATTCCATAATGACCTTATTCTTAGTTTTATACTTTAACTCCTTCATATTTCACATTACCTGAACATTTCACATAAGCAGTAGAATTATGGTGGTCAGGAGGCAGAGGTGTAGTTTGGTTACACTCAAAAAGAGACTTTTTTCTGGATGAGCAGCTAAAAGAGTTTTTCCAAACTTTATTAATCATATCAGCCCTAGAATTGAAAGAAAACCTGGAAGCGTTCCCACAATGCATCTGCTGACACACTGTGTCTGCAGACTCTTGGTTCCATGTCTCTTTAGACCCAGAGAGCCAGTAGATTTCTCTGCCATGCTCTATCCCCACGTGACCAGAACAGGTTCCACTTAAAAACACCACCTTGTGACCTGATGGACACAAAGAGAGAAACATGATATACAGTAAGTGGCTGTGCAGGTCGTCTACCTGTTGAAAGGTCAGTGGTTCACAAAGACATAGACACAAAAATAGGAAAGTGGTGCATAAATACATACTTGGTGAAAGAAGCTGAATGGAGATATACCACAGTCTGGGCTTATTCCAGCATAACTAAGTGATTATTCGGGATCACCTTATTGAACACTAATTATAAGCTTTATCAAAAAGGAAGGTTTGAAGCCTAATCTTAAAAGCAGAGAAGGTGCCTGCCTACAAAATCCAAACTGGGAAGTAATTCCAGAGGAAGAGGGGCCTGAAAGCTGAAAGCTCTGCCTCTATTCCACTTTTAGGAACCATAAGTAGTCTGTAGTCTGAGAGGAATTTGTTCTAGGATCCAATGAAGAGAAGCCATAAATCACAATCTGCTCTCTACTGTTAGTCCATGTCAGTACTTGTGCTGCAGCATTCTGAATCAACTGTTTTTACTGGCGAATTTTTTTGGCCATTTAACTTTATAAGGTTAAAATGTGCTTAGTTTTATCTCTATTTATAGTAAAAATTAGCATTGTCTGTAAGACTTTCATTACTAAGCATGTAACTGTGCCAAAATAATCTTTTAATTAAATTTGTGTAAACAGTTCAAGTATTTTAAAGAAAAAAAATGTTAAAATGGAATGAACAATGAAAATTAAATTGTTAGGCATGGAAGGACTTTTGAGCCTGAAGGAGCTGTAGGAATAAAGTGAAGTTAACTAAGCTGAGCTTTTCTTCTGACTGACATTGATGAACGAAAATGTTGTTTTCCTGGTTTTAACAATTTATCATATTTTAGTGTGTCTGCAGCTTTTCCTGTCTTGATCCATCACACCAATATCATCTGTGACTTGTTCAGCAACTAAAAGACCAAAGATATAGACATAGCCTTCCTTTAAGGAAGGAAATTGTTTTTCTGGTGATGTCACTGAAGGGCAGAGAAATAAAAAAAATAACACTCACCCTCACAGGTGATTCCAGCTGCTTCCGTTTCCCGATCCGAAATTGGTTGTTTGAGTTTTCTGTTAAACACTCAGATATCTTTGATATCTTCTTATTTCTCGGACACGTTATTGACAGGAAGCTACCAGAACCCTGACTGAATTTTTCAGTTTTGCCTTTTTCCCCACATTGCAGTTGTTTGCAGACAGCTGCTGATTGAGCGTCTGTCCATCCTTTACAGGAACTTTCTTCCACTGGCCCTCATGCTTTATCTCCAATCTTCCAGCACATCTTCCAGGACCATCTGCCAGTTTCACCTCCACACTGCCTGTACCACGACAATAAGAGATTTATCAGCCACGAAACACAAAAAGAATAAATACATTAAATTAAACTCTTACTGAACACATTTTGGGAAAAATATAATCAGAATTTAACAATGTCACAATTTCACTGAATGAAGTAACTCATTTTCTCTCTCGACAGAGAATTTATTGCAGGATTTAAAATCCCATTATAAAAGTAGACAAAGGCCATCAGCAGCCACTCTGTACATTTCCACTGCTGTATCTCACCTGAACACACCACATAAGGTTGGTTTGAACACTGGATGTTCTTGCCATGCTGAGAATGACAGTGCCACAGTGAGGACTCGCTGCCTTTGCACCTCACATGGTCCATTATCCCTCTTGAATTTTGACGTTCGACTTTAGTATAAATCAGCTAGAACAGAGCATTTATGAGTTTATGTTATTTCATTGATAATCATTATTAAATTAAGTATTAATGGTGCACGTTAGTACACTAATTACAATAAAGTCCATAGCACTGCTGTATGGACAGTTTCTGATACACTCAGTATCCATGTATCAGAACACCAGGTAACTTATGTTGACTAAACTTGAACACTCACTTCCCCACATCCAAGCTCCTTGCAGACCAATTCAGCTTCAGTTTTAGTCCAGGTGGAGGCACACACAGGATTAACTGAACCTTTCACTTCAATATTAACTGTACCATAGCACTTGCTGTCTTTACCAGAGTCCTTCAGAACTACTTTAACTTTATCTGAGGGAGAGAGAGAGAGAGAGAGAGGGAGAGGAGAGAAGAGAGAGAGAGAGAGAGAGAGAGAGAGAAGAGAGAGAGAGAGAGAGAGAGCAGTTTCACAGTGTGAAGTGTTTGCTTGGAAGTTGTTTGTGTTGGAATATAGATGTGTTGAATTACCTGTGCATGTCACATTAAGGTTTTTGTTTGTGCTGTTCTTTGGGCTGAGAGAGTTACCGCAGTGCATTTGCTGGCACACATCAAAATCAAAGTTGTCCTGTTGAACAGGTACCCAGTTGTTATTTTCTTCTTTTTCCAGCTGCCCAGAACACACATTTGACTGGTTTCCTTTGAGCTGCAGTCTCGTATAACCTGTTCATAAAACACTTTCACCATATGTGTTGTGTGTGTGTGTGTGTGTGTGTGTGTGTGTGTGTGTGTGTGTGTGTGTGTGTGTTACCTTCACATATGACAGAGAAAGTTTTGCATGATGCTGAATCATCATTGCCATTCGCACACTGCCACAGATGATCTGGGTCTCCGTTTTTAAAAGCCGAACAATCAAGCTTCATCTTTGATGCTTTTTTGAATCTTTCCCTATCCCCCCTCTCTGAGGGAGGAATTTCTCTGAGTCCACCACACCCGAGATTTTTACACAGAAGCCTGGCTTCTTTTTCACCTTTTTAAGAGAGGAATAATTTATTGTTTGTTCATCAAAAACATCGCAAAACATAAAAAAAATGATAGAACTTATTGCAAATCAAATTGAGAGAGAGCAATATTGAAAATATTTAAACAGCCCTGCCCTTTGAAATATATATATATATATATATATATATATAAATAATTAACAAAAAGAGAAGACATACCAATGTTGTTGTTACAAAAGTAACCCTGAGTTATGCCATCAACAGAGTACTGGACAGCTCCAGCACATTTGGGTCCATCCAGGCTTAATGTGATATTACCTTGAAGAGCACACTCAATTATCAGCCAAATATAAACACAGATTAAAAAAAAAACACAAAAAAACCCCACACAAAACAACCAAACAAACACCACAATTGATTTCCCTTAACAACTTTTAGCTAAGAGTCATTGTCACTGAGCTCACCAAAAATAAATAAATAAATAAATAACAAAAACAGAGAAAAATTTGAAAAACTTACTTGAACACTTAAGTTTTTTCACTGTGACCTTTGAGTAATCGCTGTAGTTCCAACCAGGATGTTTACATTTCCACAGAGCGCTCTCGTGTCCTTTGCACTCCAGTTCATTGAGCCAGATCGGTCTGTCTTCAGAAGGCTTGGGAATATCTGTTACTGAGTTCTCCACAGGTTCCCCACAGTGAGTGCTCTTACAAACCACTTTTTCAGTGTTGTTGCTCCAGAGTCTATCCCCAACATAACCCCATATGTTGTTATGGTAGACTTCAAGGTAGCCTTCACATGGGTAGCCTCCTTTGTTTTTTAGAATCAGTTTGTCCTCAGCTAGGAACATACAAGGTTTATACAGCAAATTATTATTATTATTATTGTTATTATGATTTGTTTCATGGCTGACTTACTTTTGGGAACTGCAAAGGATAAAATGTTAAAATTTTGTAAAGAATTTGAGCTCCTGCCATAACAAAACATTTTGTTTTTGTTTTGTATGCTTTTATGTTTTACTTTATTATTTTAATATATCTAGCAAGATATTTTTAAACATTGTTTTTGTTCATTATTATTATTATTATTATTATTATTATCATCATTATTATTTTGAATCCACTAAGTCTTAATCCAAACAGGTCTGCTTATAAAACTTCTGGGAAGTCGGAATTAAGCCGTCATAGGGAAAGAGGCAGATAACACCCTGGACAGGTCACCAATCTGTTGTAGAGCTAACACATGGAGACACTCGTGTTTACACCCACAGCTGATTTAGATTTACCAATTAACCTACTGCACAGATATCTTTGGACTGTGAGAGGAAGTCAGAGTACCCAGAGATAACCCATGCAGACACAAGCCGGCTGTGCCAGCTCCACGAAGAAAAGGCCCATCATTGATTCGAACCTAGCACTCTGTAAGGTGACAATGCTCATCACTGGACCTCATGCTGCTCTTTAAGTAGTCATTTTTCTCTAAATAAAAAATAGATCTCCACATACATTTGAAAAGTTAAAGCTTTTTGTTGACTGTGAATTTTTGAAATTCCGAATTTCCCGCAACACCTCATCTTTGCAAAAAAAAAAAAAAAAGCTATAGAAATATAACCATTTCACATAACTTTTTGAATAGAGAGGGGGATTCCCATTGTAAAACATTGTTAGGATTTCAAAAAATATTTTAAAGATTCCTTCCTGTAATGGTGACTGATAATGAAACAAGTCCTCTGCAAGGAACAAGTGGCTCTTTAATGATCGCAGCACATAAACCTACATAGTTGGATGTAGTAGGGTGTTACAAGCGCATTCATCAGCTCTCTCAGATGTTTTTCATCTATTTTCTCCACAGCACGTTTTCACAATACTACTCTCTAGTGGTGCAATTTGGTATATCACATTAGAGGACACAACACTTCCTACTTCGACACAAACTTACTTCAATATATTTTGCAAGAAAATAGCATATTTATTTTATTACTTTGGCTTTAAATTGAGTATTAAATCTCAAATCAGTTCAGATCCACACACACACACACACACACACTGAGCTTTTTTTAAAACAGTATTTCAAAGATGTTAAATACTTCACAGACATTTTTAAGATACTTTCTTAAATCTAACAAATAACAATAATTAATCGTATTCAGAATGAAATAAATTAAATTAACTTGCCTGAGATCATCAGCCCAATGTGAGCAAGGTGGAGAAGCAGGAGGAGGAACCACATCATCACCACAGCTCATGACTTGAGAGTGAGACAGACAAATGATGTTCTCAGCTTTATATTGCCGTGGCTTCGCCCACCAAAAATGGAAATGAGCAACATACGCGCCAAATTTAGACTGCCGAATATTGTCTTAATTTAAAAGAAAACTAACACACAAGTGCACTTATTTCTTATGCAGCACCTTTTTATGCTTTTCTCTTCGTTGAACTCAAACTCACTATGACGCTTTTACACACACTAGAGATTTTATAAAAATTGTGAATTGATCAACTATTGATTCAATGATTAATAACTGACTGTTAATTAATTAATTCCAAAAATGTTGACGCAGGCTCATCTAGAAACAGAGTTCTAACTATTTACACATTACAGATTTATGACATAGACTACTGATTACAGTATAGACTTCACAATCATCATATAATATCTGCCTCAAACAGGGTCATATTGGGTATTCCACTTCAAATCAGCCAATTTTTTAAGATTTTCTACCCAACCATCTCCCGTTTTGGTCTAAATCTTGAAGATATTACAAGCATAACGAGTACTGTGAAATTTTATTGTTAAAAAATAAAAAAAAAAGCTTGGAGTCTAGCTCTCCTGCAAAAATCAGTATGTAAGCACATACTAATGAAAAAATTAATATTGCAAAAGACAGCGACAATTTCTGAATGAGGTATTTACAGACTGAAGACTGAAGCTAAATTCAGCAAATAATAATTGTTCCAATCAAAATAGAAGAAATTCAAGTCTATAATGGAATCCAAATAGAGCGAAATTCAGGAGTTTCTCAATGATACCTTAATTATAACTAAGACAACAATTACGTTAAACACGTGCATTTCCCCCCAAGATCTAAGCAGCTCTGATCCAAAGTGTGATGATCATTACTGTGAAATTTTTGCTTTATATTTTTTGCATTTTGAAAACTTTGGAAATATGTGAGCATAAATATCACAAAAACTATTTTTTAAATGTACTACTCTATTACTATATTACTATTACTGTTTTAACTAGTCATTCTTACCATAAAACTGAATCAGGATAACATATGGTGACAATTTCTAAATAGTTCATTTTGAATGCAAAATAAAGCCTGTTGTATGCTTTTTTTCAACAAGAAATTCTTCATCAGAAGTGACAAAAATCGTGCTGATTGCAAATATGACAAGTTGTATCACAAAATCAAAATACATGAGCAGACTGTCTGAAAACAATACAATTCTGGAGTTCTTAGATTATTCTAACTAAAATTTAAAAATAATAATTTTGTTAAACATCAGCAAAGCATTTCCGAACATTTTCTGTTAAACCCTCTCCAATTTACTTAAACAGTTTTTTTTTTTTTAGGTCAGTCAACCGACTTTTAGGCCACTATGGTATTTATCGACTATGGTATTCATCACAGAAGGCCTCAAAATGGTAGGTAGGTAGAATGGTTCTATGTGTATTTGTTTAACAAATGTATTTTCTCAATCATAATTCGAGTGCCATCTTGAAATTCAGGATCTTGAATAGCCAAGAGATTTCTATTTTTTAAATATCAGTCCCAGAGAACACATCCTGACTCATGCTGACTGTAAGAAAGGACGATAGGAGATATTCATGCCCAAATAAAATCAACAGCAATCCATATATAAAATATATATTCACCCTTTGTACTATAACATCTTTATGCAAAAAAGATATACCAGAGCAGAAAATATTGAAATTCGAGTGGTCTTGAATGGAAAAATGTGTACATATTTAACAAAATAATTTTCTGGGTAATGATTATTGATATCTGATATTTTTGTTTTTGTGGCATATGTTGCCATAATTTTTCAATCTACTTTGAAAATTGAATGACAATGACATTTTTTTAGTTTTTGCAAGAATTAAAATTGAAAATCTAAAATTCAGAAGTATGAATCAAAAATTTGGGGGAATATTTATGTTGACGTCATGTTTCGGCTGTGTGCAGGCAGGAGAAGGAAACGCAAAACTCACCACACAGGAATTAAACTCATGAAGTTGCTTTATTGCAGATTGTCACAAAAAATA